GTTTGGGCCTGGGCCTGATCAACCCGTGTCTCGGATCCGAGGGGTATCACACAATGTATGCTCAATTTGCCATCCATGCTTATTGATTCAATCACTCACACATATAAGTGTTGCAACATGTATTTCCCCTCATTCACTACATTTTGAGTGTCTAGAAAGGTGATGTTTAGTGGTGACCTCTAAGTCCCAAGACCTCTCTATATTGTTCACTATCCTTTATTTACTTTAATTGCTTAGTATTGAATTTGTTTACATTATAGTTTAATTAACCAATCCAACTATCTTTTGATCACTTGACCTACTAATCCAACCTTGTTTCCATTTCAAATACGCACCCAATCCCTTGGGACGATCTTTACTCACCCTAGCTATATTAGTAATTAGATGTAGTAGTGGCATTTTATAAATTTAAAACTTGGCCACACTATTATTTTGCACAAATTTGGAGTGTTGCGACGACGCGCACCAAGTTTTTGGCGCCGTTGCCGGGGATTGATTTGGCAACGCCGTATTTTGGAAACAATTAGGAATTAGTACTCTTTTGATCATGTTCTTATTTTATTTTTTAGTTACTTATTGTGTTTGTTCTTGATTGGCTAGGTGCATTGAGCAAAGGAAGTCAAGCAAAGGAGTGTTAAAAAGTAAGGAGCTAAACTAAGCATAAAAGGGCTAAAATCTAAAAATTGCAAGGCATAGCAAAAAATTAAAAATTGAAAAACAACTTGAAGTTGCTTAAGGACCCTTTGTGAGATCTTTCTAACTCAATCTCTAGTTAAATCATCGGCTCGCGTGGAGGCATGTTTTTACTTTCTTAGATAGATCCTGAGCCCGTGTGGAGGCAATTTACTTTTCTTTGCATATTGTTCAAAGTATGGGAGTATAAGATCATTGTATGTGGAGGACTGTTGATTATTGATTTGTTGCGAAAGAGAAGTGATTATTACTTGCTTGTTTCTTGTTTTTGTTTTGTTTGTGCATGCATGGTCGTAGGTCATTAAATCATACTCTTATCCCTCCTAATTTAAATCTTGAATCCATTGTTTGTAATCCTAAGGGAAGAGGTAGCTCTCACCACTCCATTTTTCCATTGGAGGAGCAAAATAATTGTCACGCCCCAAATTTATAAGACATGATAAATTATGATGTAAAAAGAAATTGGGACAGCAATCCTTGATGGACCAAAATTATGCGCAGTGCCCAATCAAAAATTTGTATAAAATTCGATTTTAATTGAAACATGGCAAACGAAAATGATTTGAAAACTAGACTAAAAGGGTAATGTGACACTACAATTCCCAGCAACTTAAGCTTTGCCGATAAAATCAGTTTTTGGAAAGAAAATGACTGTCTAAGAATGCTGAAAATAAAGTGTTTCGGAAAACTTCATTCGTTTGAAAAATATCCAAAGCTAAGAAAAATTCAAATAAATTCGTTTTTATAAAGTAGACTTAGGGACGTATAAAACTGGAAATTTTGATAAAGATCCGGTCTCAAGATGTTGGTCAAATAATTCATTTAAAATCTGATTTCCAGCAGATGTAAAATTCGGACAGCTAGTACTCTCGAATTTTTAGAAAAATATCTGTTGATCCAAAAATTACAAAATTTTATGGAGAAATACTAGATGCATAAAGGAAGTTGTGGTAAAAATTTGAAAGTATTTGGATCAATACGGTTCCTTAGATATTTTTTTTGAATTTTAGTAAAATTGAAAGAAAAATGAATTTCTTGCAACAAAACAATTTCCGATTCCCCATCATCAATTCTATCATTCAAACCAACAAAGAACACTAGAAAGAAGTCTCTAGATATCCATTTACATATAAGCAGATATAATTACACACCAAGGTCTTTATACAGATGGGTAGAAACTTAGTCAATTCACAAAAACTACATTGGCATACACATAAAAGAGGGTACAACTAACACCCGACATACATTAACACCATAGCATGCTTTACACCCAAAGCCAACTATATACAACACCAAAATCAAATATATACAATAGAAGAGCATGCTAACATTTTTGAACCAGCACAAAAAGTGAAATTTCTACAACCTGCTACAGGAGTCACACTACAACTACTATAATAAAAGCCAAAATAAAACTGATCATGCTATCAGCTTAATTTCATCAAGCAAAATAGGCTTCTATCCAAAAATATATCCCAGTGCAAAAGCAAGACATGGACCACAATTAGCATCCCCACGTCCACCATCTCGGTTGACGGTACCTGAAAATTGTTAGGAGTGAGACAACGCCCAGTAGGAAAATTCTAATGATGCCTCAATGAGGTTTTGTGCATATGTTGGACTTTTGAAAAAATATATTTTGATTATAGACTATGCTATATATATCAGAATCTTATATTTTCATGTAAAAGAACAGACAAAACTCATAGTGAACTAACAAAATATTCTAGAATTTTGTTAAAAAAAAAATCATTTTATTTTCTTTGGTACCATTCATCGAACACCTTCAACTCATCCCGGAGTGTCCCACACTGTCACTCCCACACCAATCAGTGTGTTAACAACTCCCAAATACCCAAACAAGGGTCTACCGCTGCGGGTTTTGGGACTTTCACCCTAGGGTAGCTCGTACCCTCTTTTCCCTTCCGAGACTTCACGCATCCAGTCTTAATTCACGCAAGGAAATCTGTTCTCATGATGTTTGATGTACCAACTTAAAGGTTCAAACTTGAAGGAAGTCTACTCAATGTATTTCTTATGCACAAACTAGTAAACATCTCACTTTTACACAATATGCATAAAGGAATTTTACAAACCTTAACTGGAAGTACCTTTCTTTACAAATAATTAAAAAAAGAAAACTCAATTTTTAACATGATATAGACAAATGCTTATTTCAATCTTTCAAAGAGGAACAATCAGAATCTATGCATATTAGTAAACATGACCTTCAAAAGTTCTAAGTATCACAACTAGAGAACAATATTTCATGAGCTTATAGCCATAGTAATTTCAAAATAATATATAGGACTATCAAAGAAATTATAGAGAATGAAAATCTCCCAAGTCTGCAAAATTAGAGAATCCCTACCAATTACATAGATGAATAAACTGCGATGGATAAATCCCTAGCCTTTCTTGGCCTCCCTTTTTCTTCTTCTCTTCCTTGCTCAATTTTCCCCTTTCTGTTAGTTTCTTTTGATAATTTTACATGCAGATAAAATAGGTGGAGAGGCCTAAGCTTGGTGTCTTGGTGTCAATCTTAGAATACAAACGTGTCATTAGAATGCTAGGAATAATGACAGGTGTTTCCCACTAATATATAAATCTTGTGCAATTGTAAGTTTCCCCCACCATCTAATTTAAATACAGAGGAACAACAATATTGCCCCACAATTTCCTATAATAGTGAACCCGCACAACTTAGCTAACTAATTGCGTCATTGGCCCACCCGTCTACCTAAACAAGGAAAATAACACAACACCACTATAGAGAGAAAAAAAAATTCAGCATAGTAGAAATAAAACAACTTAACTTACATAGAATAGAAAAATAAAATTTGATGCATTTTAATATTAAGGATAAAGAAAAATAAATAAATTCATAGGGCAGCAAGAGAAAAAAAAAAAAAGAATAATAATAATAATAATTGCAAAGAAAATTAATTTACTTAAGAATATAAAGAACCTAATAAAAACTCAAGATGTCACATTCTTCTCCCCTAAAAAAAAATTTCGTCCTCGAAATTTCATAATGCAAACCTGATTCGTGAAAGAGATGAGGAAATCTATCTCGCATATCAGACTCTAACTCCCACGTTGCCTCTTCTACTCCGTAGTGTCGCCACAAAACTTCACAAGTGGAATAGTCTTATTACGGAGAACCTTTGCTTTCCAATCCAATACTTGAATAGGTTGTTCAAGGTAAGAAGCATCTTCTTGCAAATGCAAATCATGCCACTCGACAACATGTGAGGAATCCGGATGGTACTTCCTAAGCATTGACACATAGAACACGTCGTGAACATGAGCGAACGTAGGTGGTAGAGCTAATCGATACGCTTGTGTTCCTACCTTTTGAACAATCTTGAATGGTCCTATGAATCTTGGAGCGAGTTTGCCTTTCTTTCCAAATCTGAAAATGCCTTTATATGGAGCGACCTTGAGAAAAACAAAGTCCCTGACTTCGAATTCTAGTGGCCTCCTCCTTTTATGGACGTAGCTCTTTTGCCGATCTTGGGCTGCATGTAGCCTTTCCCGAATTACTTTAATCTTTTTAGTGGTTTGCTGCACTAACTCAGGTCCCACAAGGAGAACTTCTTCTTTTTCAGCCCAACATAAGGGAGAGCGGCAAGGCCTACCATAAAGAGCCTCGTATGGAGCTATACCGATGCTTGACTGGTAGCTATTATTGTAGGCGAATTCCACTAATGGTAAGTGCTCACTCCAGCTACCCTTGAAGTCCAAAGAACACGCTCTTAACATATCCTCAAGGATTTGAATAACTCTCTCCGATTACCCGTCAGTTTGAGGATGAAAAGCAGTGCTAAGGTCTAATTTTGTGCCCATAGCATTTTGCAATCCCTTCCAAAATTTGGAGGTGAAACGGGGATCACGGTCAGATACAATGGACAAGGGAATGCCATGGAGACACACGATGTTCTGGACGTAAAGCTTACTCAAAGCTTTAAGTGAATCCGTGGCACGAACCGGAAGAAAATGGGCTGATTTGGTGAGTCTATCCACAATGACCGTACTGAGTCATAGCCACCTCGAGTCTTGGGCAACCCAGTCACAAAGTCCATGGTGATACAGTCCCACTTCCACCCAGCAACGGGAAGAGGTTGAAGCAGGCCAGTAGGTCGTTGATGCTCCGCTTTAATTTGTTGACAAGTTAGGCACTTGGCCATGTATTCTGCCACATCATTCTTCATGCCTTTCCACCAGAAATTTCGGCGCAAATCTCGATACATTTTTGTGTTTCCAGGGTGAATCGTGAATTTCGAGCGATGGGCTTCATCTAGGACTTATTTTCTAATGTTAGGCTCATTTGGTACCATGAGACGTTGCTTGAAACGTAAACCTCCGTCGGTGAACAAGGACCATTCCAGCATATCATTATTGCTGAAAATTTGTTTTCGAATAGCCTCCAACTCCATATCTTGTCGTTGTGCCTCAATGACATGTTGAAGTAGTGTGGGTCGAGCTACCAAAGAAAATGCATAAGCTTTCTCATTCCTTTCGCCTAATTGTAGATTGTACTCTTCTAAAACGCTGCATGTCCTCCACGCTTGGATGGCATAATTGTAAGTTATAGCTTGGCGTTTTCGGCTTAGAGCATCGGCAACCACATTGGCCTTTCTTGGATGGTGATGAAGCGCAAAGTCGTAATCTTCAAGATACTCCAGCCATCCTCTTTGTCAGTTGTTCAATTCTTTTTGGGTGAACAAGTACTTTAAGCTCTTATGATCGGAGTACACCTCAAATTTGGAGCCGTAAAGATAACATCGCCACAACTTGAGTGCAAAAATGACCGCAGCCAATTCTAAGTCATGGGTTAGGTAACGTCGCTCATGTGGCTCTAGTTGGCATGAACCATAAGCCACAATTCTGCCTTATTGCATGAGAACACACCCAAGGCCAATTGAGGAAGCGTCGCTGTAGACAACATATTTGTCTTCATTATTGGGGATGACGAGAACGGGTGCCGTTGTTAACCTGCATTACAGCTCTTGAAATGCTATTTCACATTTCTTAATCCACTCATACTTGACCCATTTTCTTGTCAGTTGTATTAATGGCATTGCAATCCGGGAGAAATTTTCTACAAAACGACGGTAGTACCCTGCTAGTCCGAGGAAACTTCGAATTTCTGTAACATTCTTCGGCCTTTCCCAACTTAGAATAGCCTCAACTTTGGATGGATCTACGGAGATGCCATTTTTGGACATTACATGGCCCAAAAATTTTACTTCTGTCATCCAGAATTCACATTTTTCTCGCTTAGCGTACAACTAATTTTCCCAAAGAAGTTGCAAGACCACTCTCAAGTGCTTTTCATGCTCTTCTTGGCTTTTGGAATAGATCAATATGTCATCTATAAAAACAATGACAAATTAATCTAAATATGGTTGGAAGATGCGATTCATTAAACCCATGAATGCTGCCGGGGCATTGGTCAATCCAAAATGCATGACAAGGAACTCAAAGGGGCCATATCGAGTTCGGAACACTGTTTTTTGTATGTCTTCTTCTTTTACTCGCAGCTGGTGGTACCCAGATCGTAGATCAATTTTTGAGAAGAAACTAGAGCCCTGAAGTTGATCAAATAATTCATCTATTCGTGGCAGCGGGTACTTGTTCTTTATTGTTACCCGATTAAGCTTCCGGTAGTCGATGCAAAGCCACAATGAACCGTCGTGCTTTTTGGCAAAAAGAACCGGAGCACCCCAAGGTGAAGAGCTAAGTCGGATAAACCCTTTCTCCTGGAGTTCTTGTATTTGCTTCTTGAGTTCTTGAAGCTCAGCTGGTGCCATTCGGTAAGGAGAAACAGAAATAGGAGCAATTTCGGGGTACAATTCAATGGAGAAGTCTACTTCCCGCTTGGGTGGTAATCCAGGTAACTCAGAAGGAAAAACATCTTCAAATTTACTTATCATTAGCATTAGACAGATTGCGCTAAAGAACTTGGCTTCCCACAAATGGAAGCTAGAAAGCAAAGGAAATTTCGGCTCCTTCGCTTTAGCATAAGCATTTTGGAAGAAGACAATGGTGGAAGGATTTGCACGTCTCCTCGAAAACAAAAGGTAATTCCATTTTCTTCCTGGAAGGTCACCCTTTTATAATAACAATCCACTATGGCTTGGTGAGAGGATAACCAGTCCATTCTGAGTATGACGTCAAACTCATTCATGTCAAACAAGATCAAGTTATGAACCAAAGAGTAACCCGCAATGGAAATAGTACAAGACTTGCAAACTAAAATACTCTTGGTAAGTTCCCCTACGATCTAAAGGAAGCCCCAAAGATAATGCAAAAGATTCAGAAATGAAGGAATGGGATGAACCAGTGTCGAACAAGACACGAGCCCAGGTGTGGAAAATCAGAATAGTACCTTCAACAACTGCATTGCTAGCTTGCCCTTCGGCTTCATTTGGTGTGATACAAAATACCCTTCCTTGTGGCTTGGAAGCTTGGTCTGCAATTTTCCTTTTGTAAGTTGGGCGAGGCTGATTTGTGGTTGTTGCCGATGGAAGATAAGAGTACCCCGAGCGTGGCTGTGATTGTTGAGACATTTGAGAGTGACTAGGAACTTGGGACTGAGCTTAATCATTTTTTGGGGCTGAATGTAGAGATGGACAATTCCGTTTGAAATGCCCTTTCTTTCCACAGTAATAACACTCATCAGAAGCTCTATTGGAGTTGCCTTGAAAACTTTCCCCACTTGAATCTTGTACACCCTTTTGTCTTTTGTTGTTGGAGGGACGACGATGCTGATTTTTATGCGAATCTCGGGACCTTTCTTAAATTTTCTGAAAATCCTCTTTTTCACGTTCCACACTCATGGCACTGTCTACCATATCAGAATACTTCCGGATGTGTAGAGCCACTAATTTTTCTCGGATGGTGGGTCGGAGTCCCCTCTCAAACTTTAAGGCCTTCATCTCCTCCGTAGCTATCAAACATTGCCCAAACCGGCTCAATTCCATAAACTTAGCATCATATTCAGCAACCGTCATATTACGTTGAGTAAGATGAAGAAATTCCTGTAGCTTGGCTTCACGAACCACATCTCGAAAATATTGAGCATAAAAGAGTTCTTCAAAGGTTGTCCAGTTCATACTTTCAAGATCATGTCTAATCTTCACGGTGTCCCACCAGTGATCGGCCTCATCAAATAAGAGTGACGAGGCAATGGCTACTTTGAATTCTTCGGGCGTGGATGTCACCTCAAAAAGCTTTTTGATTTCTTTAAGCCATTTCTCAGCTTCACCCTTGTTTCCTCTAAAATTTGGAGGTTTGAGCCTCCGAAACTCCGCGAGACACTTTATCTTCTTTTCAGCTATTGTCAACTCCCTAACTGGATTGGGAGCCTGGTTCATTTGGACTTGCCATCTCATAAGTCCAGTGAGATCTTCTAAGGCTTGGAACACCCTTGCAAGCCTCTCATCATTTGTAAGTTGTTCATTTGAATTAGCACTGGCAGCTTCTCTAGACATCATGAACTAGAAAACACACTTTAAAAATCAAGTTAAATCATATTGTATATAACATCTATAACATAAGCACATGTGCATAAATTTTTTTTTTTGACATAATGTTACAATTTAAAGTCACTCATCACATACCATCTAACTTTATAGCATAGGAATATATGCAATTAAAAGGGCACACATTTAACACTTTAAAGCACATAATCAACAAGTTATGATCATTTATCACATAGCATGGTACAATGCAACTTGTTCATAACATCAACAGTCAAAGATCACAAAAATTCTCCCTAGGAACTACAGCCTAGGCTCTGATACCAAACTGTCACGCCCCAAATTTATAAGACGTGATAAATTATGATGTAAAAAGAAATTGGGACAGCAATCCTTGTTGGACCAAAATTATGCGCAGTGCCCAATCAAAAATTCGTATAAAATTCGATTTTAATCAAAACAGGGCAAACAAAAATGATTTGAAAACTAGACTAAAATGGTAATGTGACACTACAATTCCCAACAACTTAAGCTTTGCCAATAAAATCAGTTTTTGGAAAGAAAATGGCTGTCTAAGAATGCTGAAAATAAAGTGTTTCAGAAAACTTCATTCGTTTGAAAAATATCCAAAGCTAAGAAAAATTCAAATAAATTCATTTTTATAAAGTAGACTTAGGGATGTATAAAACTAGAAATTTTGATAAAGATCCGGTCTCAAGATGTTGGTCAAATAATTCATTTAAAATCTGATTTCCAGCAGATGTAAAATTCGGACAGCTAGTACTCTTGAATTTTTAGAAAAATATCTGTTGATCCAAAAATTATAAAATTTTATGGCGAAATACTAGATGCATAAAGGAAGTTGTGGTAAAAATTTGAAAGTATTTGGATTAATACAGCTCCTTAGAGAATTTTTTTGAATTTAAGTAAAATTGAAAGAAAAATGAATTTCCTGCAACAAAACAATTTCCGATTCCCCATCATCAATTCTATCATTCAAACCCACAAAGAACACTAGCAAGAAATCTCTAGATATCCATTTACATATAAGCAGATATAATTACACACCAAGGCCTTTATACAGATGGATAGAAACTTAGTCAATTCACAAAAACTACATTGGCATACACATAAAAGAGGGTACAACTAATACCCTGACATACATTAACACCTTAGCATGCTTTACACCCAAAACCATCTTGTGAAAGTTTTGTGGCGACACCACGGAGTAGAAGAGGCAACGTGGGAGTTAGAGTCTGATATGCGAGATAGATTTCCTCATCTCTTTCACGAATCAGGTTTGCATTATGAAATTTCGAGGACGAATTTTTTTTTTAGGGATGGAGAATGTGACATCTTGAGTTTTTATTAGGTTCTTTATATTCTTAAGTAAATTAATTTTCTTTGCAATTATTATTATTATTATTATTATTTTTTCTCTTGCTGCCACATGAATTTATTTATTTTTCTTTATCCTTAATATTAAAATGCATCAAATTTTATTTTTCTATTCTATGTAAGTTAAGTTGTTTTATTTCTATTATGCTGAATTTTTTTTTTCTCCACAGTGGTGTTGTGTTATTTTCCTTGTTTAGGTAGAGGGGTGGGCCAATGACGTAATTAGTTAGCTAAGTTGTGCGGGTTCACTATTATAGGAAATTGTGGGGCAATATTGTTGTTCCTCTGTATTTAAATTAGATGGTGGGGGAAACTTACAATTGCACAAGATTTATATATTAGTGGGAAACACCTGTCATTATACCTAGCATTCTAATGACACGTTTGTGTTCTAAGATTGACACCAAGACACCAAGCTTAGGCCTCTCCACCTATCTGCATGTAAAATTATGAAAAGAAACTAACAGAAAGGGGAAAATCGAGCAAGGAAGAGAAGAAGAAAAAAGGAGGCCAAGAAAGGCTAGGGATTTATCCATCGCTGTTTATTCATCTATGTAATTGGTAGGGATTATCTAATTTTGCTGACTTGGGAGATTTTCATTCTCTATAATTTCTTTGATAGTCCTATATATTATTTTGAAATTACTATGGCTGTAAGCTCATGAAATATTGTTCTCTAGTTGTGATACATAGAACTTTTGAAGGTCATGTTTACTAATATGCATAGATTCTGATTTTTCCTCTTTGAAAGATTGAAATAAGCATTTGTCTATATCATGTTAAAAACTGAGTTTTCTTTTTTTAATTATTTGTAAAGAAAGGTACTTCCAGTTAAGGTTTGTAAAATTCCTTTATGTATATTGTGTAAAAGTGAGATGTCTTAATTCCCTCCCTAAGGTGGTTTTCAAAACAAGTATGTGCCACCTCCAATGCAAAGCCAAGGTTCCTAAGGTTTTAGATCTTCTTTTCAATCATCACATGGAAATCAATTTACTAACTCTCATTTTCGTAATCAATCGTTGTATTCTCAAGGAAACTCAAGGAGTCCCGCTTTTGAAGAGAAAGTGTTGACCGCTTTGGGTACTTTGGAGGCAAACACTCAATTGCTTCATTCTCATTCCCAATCCATTGCTAAGCTAGAAACCCAAGTCGGACAAATAGCTAGTACTTTGAATGCTAAAGAGAAAGGGGAGATGCCTCTAAATGCCCTACCAAAGCAACAATTTCTTGTGGAAACCAATTCCTCATCGGAAGGTCACACAATTGAGCATGTTAATGATGTGACAACCTTGAGGAGTGGGAGAATTGTTGACAACCAAGTAGGAGAATCTAATGAAGAGAGTGAACCGGTGCAACCCAAAGTTGACACCTGTCCCATTTCATAATTTATTCCTCCTTCATTGCATGTGCATAATCATTTTGTTGAGAAAGTTGTGAAGAATGATTTGAAATATGATTTGAACAATGATTTGAAAAATTCTTGTGTTGAAAATGTTTTGAAGAAAGACTTTGAAAAGGCTTTTGAGCCTAAAGCTCTATTTCCGGATGCCTTGAAAGGATCAATTTCTCTTGACAAACAAAAGACCAAGACTAATGAAATCATTGAAGTATTTCGGCAAGTGAAAATCAATCTTCCCCTTTTGGATGCAATTAAACAAATTCTGGCTTATGCCAAGTTCTTGAAAGATCTTTACACCCAAAAAGGGAAGAACAAAAGCCAAACACCAAGGAAAGTGGTCTTAATCGAGCAAGTAAGCTCAATCTTACAACACAACATTCTCCTAATATTTAATCGGACCTACTACTTCTTGCATCATTGGTGACCATGTCATTAATTGGACTTTTTCTAGATTTAAGACCAAGTGTTAATCTTTTTCCTTATTCGGTGTATGTTAAATTGGGCTTAGGAGACTTGAAACCGACGTCGATAGTTTTGCAACTTGCCAACCGATCCATCAAAAAGCCCCAGGGTATCATTGAGGATGTGTTGATTAAAATTGATAAATTCTTCTTTCCCGTCGATTTCGTTGTCATTGACATGGAACCGGTCCCAAATCCCAAGAGTCAAAGTCCCGTTATCCTTGGCCATCCATTCTTGGCAACCGCTAATGCCAACATCAATTGTAGGACGGGGATAATGAAAATCTCATTTGGGCATATGAAGGTGAAGTTGAACATCTTTAATCCAACCCCGAGCTAAACAGACAAGCATAAAGAAGTGTGTGTTGTGGAAAAATGCATTGCCAATGAATTTGATGAAGCTGAGTCTTTACTTGATGTTGAACATTCCCATGGTTTGCTTCCAAAGGAGAGTTCACCAAGTGTTCCAAGGGCATGGAAGCCCAAAAATTGCATTGACAAAGGACCATTAATCTCATTTGAGTCAAATCCAACAAGTTCTCTAGGGAACCATTTGTTGGGTGGGATTCAAAGTGCCATTCACCCCGTCAAGGAGGGGATGCACAACAAGATTTTTGATCTGGGCTAAAAGAGCCCAACGTCTTGTTAGAGACATTAAAGACTAGTGCTTCTTATGGTTTACAACTTTATTCCTCCCCTATTTCTATTTTACCTTTCATTTCTTGCGTCGTCTAGATATATTCTGGGTTCATACACATTGCTAGGAACTTTGATTGAGTATGCATGCATTTTCACTTTCTAATTAAGCATTTTGTGCCTATTTGATCGATCTAGGAAGAGGTTCGATCGATCGAACATCATACCTGCATCCAATCATCTCTCTGTTCTATTGTGCGAGAATTTTCTGCATATTTCAGCTCTCTATGTATCGTGCGAAGTTCCTTTCTAATCGATCTGAGAATTCCAAGATCGATCGAGTTCTTCCTTAGATCGATCTTCAGCCCATACTTAGAAAAAAATTGGAACCCAAGAAAAAGGCCTCTTTGTGCATGGTTCAAACTTGTATGCAAGTTTTCACCTGTTGGATCGATCGAAGTTCCTTCCAGATCGATCTTTAATCAATCAATCCGTGTTTCTTTTGTTGACTTTGACTGCTTTTTGAATTTTGCATTTCATTTAAAAAAAAAAAAAACCAAAAATATTTTATTTTATTTTCAAAATTCAAAAATCCAAAAAAATATTTTTCTTATATTTATATTTATTTTTTCCATTTTAAATTCAAAAATCCAAAAAGAATTTTATTTTATTTTATTTTATTTTTATTTTCAAAAATCCAAAAATATTTTTAATTTTAATTTTTTAAAATTCAAAAATTTTCAAAAATACTTGTCGTTTTGTGAGGTTAGATCGATCTGAGTCCCTTTTAGATCGATCTTTGTTTGATCGATCTGAGTTATTTCATGATCGATCGAACATGTCAAAGATCGTTTTTAAAAATAGAAGTCAAGGGTCATTTGGGTCGATTTCAAGATCGATCTCAGACCCCATTTATCTCTCCCGCCACTGTTCATCATCTTCCCAACCTCCGGCGATTTCTTCGAGCTTCTAAACTCCCTTCCTTGCTTCAGATTCCTCTCTCGGTCTCCATTTCACTCATTCAATTTGGTAAGTTTGGGTTTTATTTTCAATTTTGAGATTTAATCTTATGTTTTAGATGTTCCCATGTTCAATCTATGCCCTTCCATGATTGATTG